ACCTGTTCTCTGTGGCACAAAACTGGCCATCCTCTTAGAATGAGGCACCAGAAAACCTTTGTTTCATTGAATTTGGGGGAAATCAATGTTTGCTCTGATCCATTTCCCCGTTCCCAAAAAGCACCATTATGAAAACTGTTCCCTTACAATCCTTCAGTCATGGATATGCTACAGCATCCCCAAACAAATATTTTCCAACATTTCACTGACTATATTGTTAGAGAGTTTATTCTCTAATCTAGTTCCAATCTTTCTCACTGCCCTGTAAATCCACTACTCCTTAGCCTATCATCTACCCTGTCTTCTCTGCAGCAGCCTCTTATATGACTGAAAACTTCTGTCTTTTGTTAACTGTCTCTTGAGACTAAGCAACTCTAGTTTTTCAGTCTTTCCCACATACATTTTGTAAATTACTGATATTTGTCACTGCTCTCCTATATTACTGAAAGGAGAAAAAAAATCCCTTTAAAAAGTCTTCTGAGCTCTTTAAAGGAGCCCAAAGCAAAGTATACGTATTAGTAGGAAAAATAAAAAGATAATGCAGTGCTCTTAACTGGAGGAAACCCAGAGAGTAAAAGTTTGCCATCACCACATGCAGCTTCCCTTCTACACCAGCCAGCAGTGGATTTCTCCTGCACAGTTTACCTTTTCCTTTGTCCACAGGATCTTCCTTGCTTGCTGCCACAGCCGTTGAATCACCATTTATAATATCAAGGAAGAAGTCAGCTGGATTGTTGAAGGGTTCACATTCATATCCTTAAAAAAAAAACCCAAAACAAACAAACGCAAAACCACATATGCAACATGTTTGTATTGCACAGAGCACAGCTTGGAAGGTCAAGTCTGATACTATATCACTCCTCCACAACCCTTTTACAAGAAAACTTCCACTGCTTTCTATAAGCGTTAATTTACAGCAGTAGAATGGACAGGATTTAATAGATGATGAATCTGAGGTATCTATTCAGAGCTTCTAAGTTGTAATCTGTAACTTGCTTCTGCACAGGTCAGCATGGACAACTCTTGCCTCCTTCCCAGTGCTGTTCAACCACATCCCACTCTGAGAGACATACAGTTCCTCAGTAGAGGTTGCTGAATGTCTATTATACAGCCTCAGATGCTTGCTCTAGGAAGAGGAAGGGCTGTCTAAGAGTGGCTTCTTATAATATGGTTCCAGATATAAAATGAGGAGGAAAGGGAAAAAAAACCCCAACAACCCCCCCCCCCTCAAAAAAAAAACAAACCCCAAAGCAAGGATACTTATTCTGTAGCATTCCTGTGAGGAAGGAAGTGAGATGGGATACTAAGAGCTAAGAGGAGAAGTCCTGAGATTGGTTAAAGCATCTCACTTAAAGCCAGAGAAAGCTTACACAGAATCACTGGATGTTAGGCATTGGAAAGGACCTCGAAAGATCATCTAGTCCAATCCCCCTGACGGAGCAGGAACCTAAAGGAGATCACACAGGAAGGCGTCCAGGCGGGTTTTGAAATCCAGTGTGTCCATGGCTGCATCTAGATTGGAAATTCACTCTACATTCTCTGTCCATTATATAGTCAGAAACTCTCACTCTGCATACTTGTAGAGGGAGCAGCTCCCAACAGTGCAATTATTAACCCATCTTAAGATGCACCATGATTTTGTCCTCTCCGTCATCCACCTGCATTCAGACTAGAGCCAATTCTTGGATCAGCCAATCTGCAGACTGTAGTTCAAAACCCACTGGGTCTGACACCTAGGCCTGGTAGAACTACAAGCATTATCTTGTCAGTTGTGCACCATGCTTCAAAATGTCCCAGCAATTCTGGGGTTTTGTCCTGATGCAAGGCAAAACAAAGGCAGGAGAAAGCCATTCTCTGTGTTGCCTGGAAATTTTCATTTTTATCATCTTGGGTTTTTTCCTGTTCTAACATAACACAGTTCAGACTGTATGTGTACAGCCTCTAGTATCCTAGTGATAAAACAGCACAGGACTGTTATCTAGTGCTGGGGTAAGAATCTACCCACAGATTAAACTCATTAGCCAGTTGCCTTTGCTTTTGGCACAGAAGACTTACCAATAGAACTAAAGTACTCCAGGGCCTGCTTTGCAGGACCATGGTACAGCACCTTTCCCAAAGCTAGTAACGTCAGACTGTCAAACAGCTTGAATATAGAATAGCGGGGCTGATGGATGGAAAATATGATGGTTCGCCCTCTTCTTGAGAGCCTGAAAGAAAAAAATATCTCTCAAATACACCACACTTTGCATCTCAGAAAGGTCATGTTAACCCAAGCAAAAAATAAGTATCGAAATCCAAGACAAATACTTGTCAACTTCTTAAGGTCTCAACCCAGAAAAGCTGTAGCTCCTCCTTTTCTGATACCGTGTCAGATGCTGCCTGAAAGACCTTCAAGACAGCACCCATCATCACAAGAGACGGTCATCACAAAAGATGGTAGACAAAGTCTGATGTTGTCCGTAGCTAGCAAAGTTTGAGGACACCTGTGTATAAACCCTCCTTACAATTTTTCTAAATCAGGCTTCAATTTGACTAACTGGAATGGCCCTACTGCATGTAATGGCAGTACTGGGATTTACAGAGCAAGCTGTGGAAGTCTGGACAGTTGAGATTTCTCTTAGCTCTTCTGCTGAAGATTTACTAGAGAGTAACTCTAGTCAAAAAGTCAAAACTAGTTTTCCTTCAGGTTTGTCAGATGCTCTTTCAAGTGCTTTAGCAACAAGTATTTTTGCTGATCAAAGACCTCTATCCAAAAACAGCAGAGCAAAATGGGCCCCCAAGCAAAACCAGTCAACATACTACAAACCCAGGAGGAGAGTTAGGAATTTGTTCTCATTAAGCAAGCCTTGTTTGATCCTCTTTGTACAGGAAGACAGTTCATCTCCAAAACATAGGAGGTGAAGGTGAACACTGAGGGTAAACACTGAAGGTAAATCTACAGGCGAAGTCTGATCTGAGTTCAAGTCTGTTGCCAGAGTGGAGGAAGAGACTTTGCAATAGACTCAGCTGGAAGGCCAAGAAACTGTGATTACAAGACCTGAACTCCGAGTCCACCCCTCTCTGAGGCAAAGGGAAGCTGTCCAAGATACATCTGCTTTTTGGGCTCCAGTCCAATGCTTGCTGTGGAAAGATTCCCATCAACTTCAAAAGGCTTTGGACAAGACCCAAATAAAGAATTTACTACCATTTCTGAGTCTACTTGTCTAGGGTTTTTATGTTTTGTTTTTAAAAAAGCACTGTAGCTATTCAGTCATAACAACATTCTTTTATTCACTAATGAGCTAGCAACAAAGTTGCAGCAGAGCCCTGAAAACTGACTCTTACTTCTTCAAGAGGATGAGGACTGCATTGGCTGTGCTGGCATCAAGGCCGGTTGTTGGCTCATCCAGAAAAAGGACAGGTGGTTCTGTGATGAGCTCCATTCCAATGTTGGTTCTTTTCCGTTCCCCTCCAGACACTCCTCGGATCAATTCAGTTCCTACCTACAAGCAGAAGAAATCAAGTATTTGCAACAAAGGCTTGGTCAGTGCATGCTCTGGAGTTCAGGGCTCTCCACACCCAGCAGCCCTTTTCCTTTTCAGACTCCCATTAGTGAACATTAGGGCCCAGCTGCAGATGATAAGTCTGACTCAGTGTGAGGGACCATGTAGCAGTGAACAAAGTCTGATTTTCAGAGGTACCAGACACCTTATGATTTCAGGGAACAAGGGTGACATGGACAAGGAAGAGCCAGATGAGGCCACACCAGTCAAAGGTGGCACTGGTGTTCAGGGATGCCTTTTGTTGGTAGCTCACCCGCTGCTCAAGAGCGGGGTAGTAAAGTCAGAGTAAAAATGCTGCTGGGACGAAAAAGCTCTGCACAGAACTTATCCATCATAGCCCAGCTTTTCATCCCTCACAGCTTTCAGCACTGTAAAAACAATTTCCCTGTCTTGTCCCACAAAGCCAGGAAGTGACTGAGCAGCTTCCCAAGGTGCTATGACTAGGCGACTTTTTCCCCTCTGAACTTATACAACATGCTGGACATGGTCCAAAATCTTCCCTTTTTAATAGCAAATACACATGCCTCTTTCCAAGGTACCTCCTGAGCTGGAGACTGATTTCATGTGTGCAGTACGGTTTAGTCAGGTTCCTGCTTAGCTTAGTGTAGCTGCACTATATATTCCATATTGTGCAGAGTCAAGTAGTTCAGTTTCCAGATGTAGTTTGATTTCTGAGGAAAGTGTTCTCACTGCTCACCTTAGCATCAGCCACTTTGCTTAATCCCAGCTCGCTGATTATCTGGGTGACTCGCTCTTCCTTCTCTTTAACGCTGATGGAGCTGGGGAGTCGCAGGGCAGCAGAGAAATGCAGGTTCTCCCTCACTGTCATTGTGCCCATGACAACATCATCCTAAAACCAATAAAAAATGGACAGTTGGAAAGCCTTCTTCTCAGCTACCTGACTGGGCACCAGAGTCCCTGTAGTGGCAGTTGCTGTATAAGCTGTTTGTGGATCACAGCTGAAACTGGACTGAGTGACAACCCCTGCTACAAAACTTACATGACAAAATTCAAGGTCACTCAGTAGCAGTGAAGGGGAGAAGGCAGCTGTGCAAGCTCCCATCTTGCACCAAGCACCACCTTAGCCTCCTTTCAGGCTCAGGAGGTTCAAATGCAGCTGGTACGGTTTCGTACTGCAAGTGCATTTTCCTTACCAGCCAAGGGGAGGTAGAGCAGGTAGCTGGTTTTGTAAAGAGCTCAACTTCTCCCAGTCCAGATGAAGACAACAGACATTGCTAGTGCTCAGTGTTCAAGTTAGAAACACTTAGGGAGTCACCCAAATCAGCTTTGTTTCCAGTCACAAGCCACGTCTTGCTGTGGTCTAGAGCACCTGCGAAGTTCAGCTGCCAACAAGGAGCTGTCCTCAGCTCCTCACTGGCAGCAGTTTCTCAGAGCCTCTCCAGTGCCCTTGCTTTGACGTTTAAGCCAATTCTGCATTCCACCATATGATGGGGGAAAAGCTGCAACACTGGGAAGCTACTGAGAAACAAGGCACGTTTCAAATCTAGTGCCCTTGTGGAAGACACAGCCCTTAAGCTGCAGGGCAGTAGATTCTTGCCTGCTTTGGGACCCCTTCTACATCAGATGTAGCTGATTAGCAGCACAAAGGATGTGCCAGCCAACTGTGTTTGGCACTGGAGTTAACAGAAGAAGACTGAATGTGCTACTGTGCTAGAAGAATGTGACAAATTACTCAGGGTGTAGTGTTATGATAATCTGGCTTTGCTGCCAAAGCTGGTTTAGGAATTTCCTACCATCACTTCCTCCCAACATGCCCTCAGTCTCTCACCCTAGCCTGCTACTCCCCATCCTCAGATCCACCGATGCAACTGTCAGGTCACCACATTGGAAACTAAACTGTGAATTAAAACTACCTTAATATCAAACATCATAAACTGTGGCATGACACCCTCACTTGCAAGGCATGAGTAGAAAGACCACCAGCAGTTTTATAGGGATAACACATGACTTAGCATGTCTATATGCTCATGTGCATAAATCTGATCCTGTAAGTATGTATATATTTAGGTATTTAGGCCTTAAGCATTGTTTGTACTCTTTGGGCCATCTTTATTGATCTAGGGAGTACTGCACAGGGGTGGGAGGGGAGAGAGACCATTTAATGTCTCACTTAGTTGCCTGTCATTTTAAGATTAAGTTTGGTTGCTTTGGACATATGAGAGACAAATATCTCAGACTGGGACCACTTGTAAAAAATTTCCTGGACATTCATTACACACTGAGGACTTGGGGATCTTTGACTTGGAGGATCAAGACTCATCCAGTCTCCTCCCTGAGCTCCCTAGCTGGCAGCTTTCAGAAAAGCTGCCTATTTCACATCTGCCTGCAGCCAGAAGCCTGGATGGTTTCCAGATTTGGCTGCTCATATGGCTGCCAAGAATCCCCTTCTCTTCAGCTCCCCCAGGGCTTTGAGGGTCTATTATTGGTCCAGGCCTCCACCCACTTCCACAGATTCAGCTGCCTTTTCCTGTCTCCAAGTGGAATGAAGCTCTGTCCTAGACAGCCAGAATCAGAGGAAGAACAGCAGGGATCTATTTACTTCCTAGAATTATTGTCCATAGCTTGAAGGTATTTTTGCCAGCTAGAACTGCTTCTGAGTTTTACAACAAGAGATTTAGGGTGTTGTGGGTTTTTTTCCTTACCTTTTTATTTTTTTTAAGCTCTTGCTAGTACTTCAGGGCAGAGCCCAAAGAACAAGCCACAGCAGCCCAATGGTCTGGGCATCCATACAGCTTTGGGAAGACAAACACCTCCGTACTTCACTGGCTTGGAATAACAGTTTGATCTTGTCTTCTATATCCCACAAAAATACTAAATACTGCAGTATCTGAGTTACCAAATTAGACTCTGTAGGGATCATTGAAAATTACCTAACCTAGTAGTTCATGCCTTGCTCATCTTATGCACTCTTCCCTCCCAAGGGCTCCCAGGCCTCCTCCCAGGCCACCCACCTGCACAACATATCCTGAGATGCACTTGAAATTCGGAGGTTGTGGGATGCCATCTATAAGCACTTCTCCAGACAGGCCTGCTGGGTCCTTTCTGGCAGCCAGCACATCTAGGAGACTTTAGACAAACATGAGGCATTAGGTTTATGCCATAACAGCTGCCTTTAGCTGGATAAGCAGCACCCATCAGCACTGCAATTACAGCCTGCTCACGGCATGCTGCAAACCAAAGGGCACAGAAAGGGGCTTCAGCTCCTTGTACAGAAAGCCTGGTGTAGATACAGGCTTTTCCAGTGCAAAGTGTGCCACAGCAGCTTGGTAGTACACAGACCCTCACAATTCACAGCAGCCAACCCCCATCAGACATAAACTCAGTCTCCATATTAACAGCTAACCTCAAATGCACGCAGACAAAAGCACCCTGCCGAGTAGCTGCAGCCTGGTCTCCAGCCAGAGGAGCACAGAAGCAACTACTTTGATCTCAAGGAAATTAATCCAAATGGGTATAAACAAGACTAGAGTTAAGGTTCATTCGATAAAGTAATTTTGTTTTAATATATTACTGGATTCTCCTTACTGCCTTTGCAGAGGCCAGCTTGTCTGCTAGCTAAGTAAACACTGCCCTGATGAAGAGCTGCCCTTGAAAACATGCTCATTAGCCAGCAGTTTCCTTAGAGAGTAAGATCAAGGGTCACCACAAAGACACACCTGTGTGAACCCTGTCTGTATTTGCCAGTCTCTGACATTCTTAAAGGCAGAGAGTGACAAAGAACTCTCTTACCATGGTTATATGGAAGAGAAAATCTGCATCAGCACTGACTGGAGATAGTCTGCATGGCATTTCTCTGTGCCTTCATCCAAAGAACTCAGGCAGATGTACACCCCCACCATCAGGCCACAGCCACGTTGGGGTGAGGATCCAGAGCATCCTACAGACTGACATTACACCATATTCCTGTCAGTTGTCAGAGGGAGGTTCGGCCTAGCATATTCAAGGAAGTCTTGCTGCAGTGACTTCACAGGAGATGACATCCCTCCTGCCCCTGAAGGGTCCCTGTCCCCCCCTCCCACCCCATGACAGGTCCAGGATAGAACTTACACCTGAGCTCCAGCCACCTCAGTTCAGCCTGGTGTCTTAACTCAGGCTAGCATGAAAGGTGACTGCAGTAAAATGGAGACCCAGCTGGAGCAGATGAGGGGTGCAACACCACTGCAGGGCAAGAACTCCAGCAAAACCAGCAGCAAAGGGACACCAGGTTATGCTGCATCACTAGATTTCTCACACGCATGCAAAGATCTGAGCCTGCGGATCCCTCATATCTTCCCCAAACCTCAGCCCCAAATTCGCTTTGCACAGCTGACTGTCCATTTGAAGGAGCAGAAGAAAGTACTCACGAAGATTTACCGCTCCCTGTTGGCCCCAGGATAGCATTCAAGCCTGGCTTCATAATGCCACTGGAAGAAGGAAAGAGTTATTTCCAAATGAAGGATTATTCACATGCAACTCATAGTGGAGGTAAACTGTGAATAAAATGCTGTTGAAAGGAAAACTTAAGAAATTACTAAAAACTTCTCCTTAAATCTGAAACCAATAAGCATCTTTCCTTTCTTGTCCCAGACTGCCAGTCAGAACAGCACCAGAGCTAGATATTTTGTAGATCACTGTAGAGCAATCTACAAAAGACAGAAATTAAGTGTCTTTCCTGCTGAAACCTGCTGAGCTGAGTCTGGAAAAGAAGAAACAGCTGCTCTTTGCTACTCATTTCCTCCCACCGCAGCTTGAACCATAGTTAAGGGAACCCTCAGATCTTCTAGCAGAAGAGTTCACAAGAGTTTGGTCCTAATTTGCCCAGATCAATAACTAAAACTGCCCTAGCTATATCCCAGCTACTTTACCTAAAAGCAAATTAGAAAGTGCTCACATGGACTGCAGACTGGCAAGAGGGTAGTGATTTCTTGACTAGCACAGCTGGATCTGGAAGGTGACATTGAGGTCACTGATTCACAGCAGCAGATTAATTCCTACCCTCCAGTATTTTATTTATGCAAGAACTTACTAAACATTATGAAGGATCTTCTTTTCCACAGTTTTCCGTTTACATAGGAATCCACTGGACTGCTTCACGGAATACTGGATGTTGTGGAAACTCACAACAGAGCCCCGAGGGCATCGGAGGGACTCTCGTGTTGGAAGAGAACGTTGGAAATTGGCTACTCCTTCCACTTCTCCAACAGAAATAACGCTGTGGTCAAACGTGTCTGCCATCATGTCCTTGTTACACAGGTCAAGCTCCACTGCATGGATCTGTTTGAGGTCACTGTTGTTTTGAGCAGTTCCCATCTGTTGAGACAAAGAAGACACGAGGTTCTTTTGTTGAGACAAAAACTTGCAGGGAAGGAGACACGCAAGCAAAGGTTTCTGCAGAAAGTGTCTTGGAAAAGCAAGTTCACGCACACCACACCAATGCTGACATGTGCCAAGTTTCCAAAAGGATGGACGTCCGCACTGGAAGACATCCAGCATCCCCAACCTCACGGAAACCCACAGATTTAGAACAGCGGGGACTACAAATGCAAGCTGCTACCACTTAAGCTAAAGACACTCAAGCTCCCCTCCTTCAGGTGTAACATGCTTACCTCCCCTCACACCCCTACAAAGCCAGCAGAGAAAACCTGTTGATGAACCTGTATGAAGAACCAGAGGAAGAAAAGCATTTATGCTTATAAAAATGAAGGCCAGTCACATGCACCGTGTTTGCTAGTATCTCTGAAACAAACCTGTGCCAATGTGATTAAAATAGCAATTACACATGTTGCTTATCATGTTTCAGTCACACCAGTATTAGGATACTTCACAACTACAAACAAAAAGAGAAATTTTGATTTGTCTGCAGGTACAATTTACCCTGAAGAACAGTAGGAGTTCACCCTCCCCCAGGGAGGGATCTGGCACATCCCACAGTAAGGAAACACATGATGCAAACTAGTACATTAGAGAAAATTAAATATGGTATCTATTTGTAATCACAAAGTTATAAAGCATTCTGGTTCAAGCAGATAAGCTGCCTCTGCAGTTCAGGATGGGAGCACCTGAAAGCAAGGACATGTGAACAGCAAAGGGAAAGAACTGTTCCCCCTGTCCATGCATCACAGCCTACATAGTAGGAAATACATCAATATATTGTATAACCATTAATATTGATTCACTTTTTAGTCACAGCAGCAGAGCTCTTTTGTCGAGGGGCTGCTTCCCTTTCTGTTGCTGATGGAGACCAAGTTTGGATCCCTTCCCTCATTTAAAAAAAAAGAAAAGTTTAAAGTTCTTGCCTTGACATTGCATGTGAAGAACTTGGAAACCCTGCAGTCCCCAAGTTCTGCAGCCTGTGCAAGGCCTGGGCATAACCTGTACCCTGCCCTTTAGCCAGGTGCCCTCACAGCTGTAAAACTTCCTGTCCCCTTTCTGGGGAACTACTGCAAGGAAGAGAGGAATTACTACATGTCCCTTCCAGAAACTGAACGCGACAGGTTAGACTAACACAAGGTAGTCTAATAATTTACTTCTCTTCTGGCTGCTGGCATAAAGGTGTTTGTTGGAAAGCTAAAAATTTACTGTGATGTTGCAGAAAGCCAAGGCGGTCACCGGCTAACTAGGAGAGCAAGGAGAGAGAACTGTCCACAAAGACATCCATTGCTGGTTACTTGAGTTTGAGGGAAGGTAGATTTATCCCACCAACCACCCTTTTCACACTACCTGTGCTTCTTTCCTCCCAGGAATGAGAGGGTGACAACCAGCAGGACCAACAATATACACCTCCACAGAAGTAGTGGATTTCTCAGGGAGAGACAGTCAGCCTTTTAAGAAAATGGAACTACAGAACTAAATCTAAAGAAACAAGAATCGTCCTTTCCTCTCTGCCTCTTCCTATCACTTAAAGCTCAAGAAGTTGCAGTAGTTTTTTGCCTATATAAGTAAAATAAAAGTGGTGGGAAGAAGGAAGGGTTGTTTAGCTTGGACACATCCTGAACTCTAAGGCTGGTCACCCCTGGGAAAGTCTTGCTTATGGGAAACAAGGATATGCTGGTTACATCAGCAAGAGAAGGCTAATATGCTTGAAAGGTTGCACAACAGATCAGAAGAAGAAAAAAGTCAGGATTACAGTGACACCAGGGGCAAAGACCTGGTTAGACTTTTGAACATTTGTCTGACTGCCTTGTACACCTCACATCTGTTCTGGATAGGTTCTGTACTTTATTACACCATAAATCGTTTAATGCAGGTTTTTGCCAAGTTACTCATTACCACCGACAAGCGAAACCACTGCTGTGAGTATGTGCAGGGATGGCAGGAGGATGAGAAAAGCTGAGCAGAGGCTACAGGTAGGAGCAGGCAGCAGCAGCACCTCACGAGCAGTGCCTCTCCAGTCTCCCACCCTCGCCCCACCGGCCGCTTCTGCTCCCAAGCCGGAGC